CCACCACCACGTGGGAGCCCAAAATAACACACAGAGTCTTATATTAATTACAATGCTGCTGGCCAATGACTAGGATTTTTTATCTGCTATCTCTGTCTTAAGTATCAACCATACTTATTACTGCTTATATTTTATAAAGACTTATCTGATCGAGGATGCTGGTGGCATGCATCCTCTCTTGTCGGGCTCACATGGCAGCTCCCAGAGAAGCAAGGAGGAGGAAGAGAAGAGAGTGATTTCCTGCTTGTCCCTGGTTATATTCTGAGTCTGCCTGTTATGTCACTTCCTGCCTGGATCACAAGACTTCTCTTTACTACATTTCCCAGAATTCTCCTTGACTCCTAGTTCCACATAACTTGCTTCCCTATTGGCCAACAGGACTTTATTTATCAACCAATAAGACAAGCATATGCACAGAAGGACTTTCCCCATCAGACCTCCACATGCTCTTACATTTGAATGCTTCATCCCTAGTTAGGAGAATTATTTGAGAAGGATTAGGAGGTGTGGCTTTGTTGAAGTAGGTGTGACCTTGTTGGAGGAGGTGTGTCACTGGGGGTGAGCTTTGAGGTTTAAAAAGCCCATGCTAGGCCAGTCTCTTCCCCCCCCCCATCTGCCTGCAACTTGTAGATCAAATGAGAGCTTTCCATCACCATTTCAGCACTATGCCTACCTACCTGCCTGCTGCCATGCTCCCTGCCATGATGATCATGGATTAACCCTCTGAAACTGTAAGCAAGTTCCTAAATTAAATGTTTTCTTTTAAAAGTTGCCTTGGTCCTGGTGTCTCCTCACAGCAATACAACAGTTTCTAAGACAATAAGTGTAGTCCAAAATGGTGAAGCAGGCATTGCAGCAGGCAACTGGAGCAGCAAGCTGGGTGATCGTATCTTCAACCACAAATACAAAGTAGAGATATCAAACTGGACATGGGTGAGGCTATATGGTAAGAATATAAACTCTCAAGGCCCAACCCCAGTGGCATACTTCCTCCAGCAAGGTTCCAACTCCTAAAGGCTCCGTAACCAATCAGTACCACAAAGTGGGAACCATGTGTTCAGTACCTGAGTATGAGGAACAGTTCTCATTCAAATCACCACAGGCCTCCAAAAAAACCCAACAAAACCAAAAACAAAAAAAACCAAAAAACAAAAAACAGGCTCTTGCCTTTTCACTTGGTTACCCAATAAGAACTAAATTATAATTATAAGAACTCCATTACTGATGATGCTATGTACCTTGTTTGCAAGACATGAATAAATCAATAAGCTGGAAACCTCATCCTAATGGCTAGCTTTCAAAATGTGAAAGATGTTATGCAGACTTCTGGGAAGACATTAATGATCTAATGAAAAATTAACTCTACAAACTACGATATCAACATGCCAGACAAGTTGTGCTAACATGTACAATAGAGGCATCACTGTTATGGAGGTAACCAGCCATTTTATGGCCGGATTTTCGACCTGCTCCACAGAGGAATCTATCCCTAATAGTATAAACCTTGTCAAAAACCCATGCCTCAATAGGTCATGGGTCCTGGGGATATTTTCTATTGCCATTTAGCTAAATAGTTATACTAGCAAACTGCCTTCTAAACATCCTTATACCCTTCGACAAAAGTTACTCTCAAGTCCAATGAGGGAAGCCTCTCTTTGCAGTGAACAGTGGTAAATGCAGAGTTCACAGCTGCCCAATACTGAGAATAAGTGAAAGAAGAGAGCTCAGCCCTAAACTAGTCATTTACACCATCCTCTGGAAGACTCTGGGAACATTACAGAAGAGTGACAAAACAGGATATAAGAGCCAGAAGACAAGGAGAAGGACAATGAAACACCACTCTCTTGACAAAACACAATCAATGTAATCATGAACTCATGTCAGCTAAGGTTACTTGAAAGAGACAGACCCTTTTAACAGTCAATCATGGACAAGAGGGAGGCTCATGAGACCATACCCCTTACTGCGAAACTATAGGTGACTAATAGACTTTAGGTGAGAGGGAACCACTGTCTTCAGTTGTGTACCCACTGGTGAACCTGCCAGGCTTCAATGAAAAGTTCCAATCCCATGTCCATACAGTCTTGGTCAAACCCAGGGCGGGACATGAACCAAACAAAAAGACATGAATTTTGGGAAGACAATGGGGAGTGACTATATGAGATAGGAGGGAGATAACATGGGATAGGAGTAACAGCATTATATACATGTATGAGAGTTTCCAAAAGCAAATTCAATTAATTTTTTAAAAGAAAAGGAATAGACATGCCACAGAAATACAGAAAGTATCCTAAGCCATGAGTGTGACAAAGGATTTATATCCAGACATGCAATGAATTGCAACAAGTTATTAATAACAATCAATTGAAAATAGGCAAAAATACTGAAGACATTTCACAAAGGAAAATAAACAAATGACTAATGTGCAAATTCAAAGGTAAAATTAAAATATTATCTCCATCATTAGTACATATTAAGAAACTATAAGCTAAAGTCCCTATGAGGCATCACTATACAGTCCATGGCTAAAACATACATGGCCTCTTTGATCCAACAATTTCATCATGGCTAGACATTTATCCAAGAGAAATTCAAACTTCTGTCTACTAAAAGAATTATAGTATAATCTATAGGGCCTCTGGTAGTGGATGAGTATTTATCCCTAGTATACAAATGGCCTTTGGGCGCCTACTCCACATAGAGAGATACTCTCTCAGCCTAGACACACAGGGGAGAACCTAGGTCCTGCTCCAAATGATATGACAGACTTTGTAGATTCCCCCCTTGGAAGGCCTCACCCTCCCTGGGGAGCGAAAAGGGGATGATGGGATAGGGGGCCAGTGGGGGGTAAGGGAGGAGGGGGAGAGAGAACTGGGATTGACATATAAAACAAGTTGTTTCTAATTTAAATAAAAACTTCACAAAAAAAGAATTATAATAATACTCAAAATAGTTTTACTCACAATAACCAAAAGCTGAACCCACATGTGCCTACAACTCATGTGAGAACAAATAAATTACGATACATTCATGTAATTGAAAGCTATGGGTCACTAAAAAGTAATGAACTGTTTACTACATAACAACATAGTCTTAGAGGCATGACATGGAGTAAAAGAAACAACAAAAGTAACACACTAAATTATGTCATTTCCATAAATTTTTAAAAGAGACAACACTAATATAAGGTGTGATGGTTAGTGTTAATTGCCAAGTTGGCAGAATCTAGAGTCACTTAAGAGAGATGTGTCTCTGGGTATGCCTACTGAGGATTATCTTGATTATATTAGTTGATGTAGGAAGATCCATCTTACGGGCAAGATTGTTCCCTGAGCAGGGGATCCTGTTGCCTGAGCTGTACTAGCCTGCATACATCACCTTCTGCCTCTTGACTGGGGATGAAATATGTTCAGCTCCCTCAAGCTTCCGCCTGTGTGGCTTCCCCCATAATGGGCTGTAACTTGAGACTGAGAACTAAATGAACCCTTCCTCCCTTAAGTTGCTTTTGTCAGTATTTTATCACAGCAACAAAACAAACAACATACACACAAACAAACAAAAAATTAAAACACTGCCTAGAGAGCAGGAAAAAGAAGATTGTCAGGGTAGATTAAGGTATCCCCTAGGGATTGTCTGGGTGGATTAAGATTCCCTAACAATTTGCTGAGCATGTATTAGTCTTCCAGAACTACTGTAACAAAATACCGTAGACAGGTAGCTTAAAGAACATCAATTTATTTCTTGAGTTTTAGAGGTTGAGAAGTCTAGGCTAAGGGTGGTGCTTCCAGCTCTCTCCCTGCAGCCCTAAAGGTCAAAAGTCAATCCTTATGACTTTTGTCATCTCCTTACAGTCTCTGGCACAAATAGAGTCAGCCTAGGAATTAAGGCTTCAGTAGTAAATCTGGAGTTGACACAATTTAGTCTTTAACAGCATGGATATACAAATAGATCCATTTGTCACAATTGTACAGTTAAGATTTGTTTTTCAATGTTTATAAATTTTATCTTAAAATGTTTGTAAAAAAAAAAAAGGGGGGGCTGGAGAGATGGTTCAGTGGTTAAGAGTCCTGGCTGTTCTTTCAGAGGTCCTGAGTTTAATTCCCAGCAACCGCGTGGTGGCTCACAACCATCTATAATGAGATCTGGTGCCCTCTTCTGGCCTGCAGGCAGAACACTGCTTACATAATAAATAAATCTTTTTTTAAAAAAATTGTAAAAATAACTATTGAGGATTAGTGATTGGGTTTGAGATCATATAAAATAATTATTAATTTAAATAAAATTCAAATAGTGGATGGGTGTTTTTAGGTTGGATGATGTGGATGATTGGGGGGGTTCATTATGATACCTACTGTGTCTATATAAGTCATTCTATTTACTTTACATATGTTTGAGACTGGTTTAAAAGAAAAGGTTTAATAATAAAAGAAAAATGTCACTCATGGTAAACAATGCTTTCTTGGTAGAGATGAAAATTCTGTGGCATTCTCCTGAATTAAGATCAACCTCAGTGCTGTCTGTAGTGAACTCGGCTTATGTATTGATTGCTTTTCTATTGCTGTTTCAAAACCATGACCAAGGCAACTTATAGAAGAGTCTATTTGTGTTCCCAGTTTCAGAGAGTTAGAGTCCATGATGGTGGGATGCAAACATGGCAGCAGGAGCATGAAGCTGAGGCTCACATCTTGAACCACAAACACAAAGCAGAGACAATGAACTCAAAACAATGAGTCTTTAACCTCTCAAAGCCCACCTCCAGTGACATAGTTCCTCCAACAAGGCTATGCCTCTTAAGCCTCCCCAACAGTTCCACACCTGGGAACCAAGCATTCAAATGCCCAAGGCAGTAGAGGTCATCACATTTAATCCACAGCTCACTTCTCAGGAGTGGATCCATCATACAGAGGTATTATAACCATTTGTAAGTTATAAATTCAGGTTCCCTTTCTTTTGATACAGCTGCTTGTCAATACTTTTTACTCTTATAATTTAGCTTTTACCTGTGGAGGTAAGACTCTGTGGGCCAAGGTAGCAGTCATCTTTCAGCAGAATTTTTTTAATGGAAATCTTTTGATTCAGTGGGGTTTCTGAAAGATTAATATGCCTAGGAAAATAAATGACAATGTGGAGAATGTTATGAAATGAAAAGACTATTTCAATGAATTAAATTAAAATTCTAGTACAATGAGCAAATATAACTAAATGAGTAAATTCAATATATGAATTCAATAGAGTATTCTAAAGACAAATAAAATAAATATTGCCAGAAGCAAAGAGATTCCATCATAAGATATTCAGACTGTAGAATAATCTTAAAATTCTTACAGAAAACAAGACAAATAAAATAGAGTTTAAAAGGTCACACATATATTTAACCAAAGAACGAAAATAAAATGAGATAGGAAATGTAGCAAAGACAATACATAAAAAGGGGTTGGCTGAGAGTTTGCAAAAATTGTCAAGCTAAAATATCAAACCAAATTCCAAGCAAAATGCCCATAGTCTGAAAGTGAGAGATAACAAAAACATAAAAAAAGCATCCAAGAGAAAAACAGGAAGCATTAGCTTCAGGGACTCAGCAGCAAGACTTACAGATGACTATCAAACAGAAGTGATGAAAGTTATGGGATTGAGACTTAGCCTGTTTAAAATAATAAGGAAGGGAGGAAAAATAGAAATGACTGCCTAGAATCCCACAGTCATCAAAAACATGCTTCAGGAAAAGTGAAATAAAGGGAATTTAAGACCAACAAAAAAAAAATGGATGTGTAGACTTTCACTGAAATGCTACAGGTACACAGATTTTTCAGGAACACAAAAATGACCCCAAATGAAAGCAAGGAAATGTTGCAAGGAAGGAACAGCCACAGAAAGAGGGGTGGGGCATAAATAAGAATGAGTCTTGATTACATAAAGATGATTATAGCATAGGATTTAAGATTGTTATAGAGCTAAGATGTATTACAGCAGAAGCAAACACACACACACAAAGGAAGTGGGGTAAAGGAAGGTTACCTTTTCAAGTTCTAATATTGCTGAGAAGAGCTCAGAAGTTGGTAGCGTATGGTAAACTCAAACAAGCCATGGACACATGATGAGATGCCTGGGGAAAACAAATGGAGAACAGGAGTGTATATGGAGCTTGCTTGCAGAGGTAAAGTGATATTTTAATACTGGTGGCTAATCTAGAGGAACCTAAGGTACTGTGATGGCTAATGTTGTCATCGTGACAGAATTTAAGATCACCTGGGCAATAGACCTCTCAGAATACCTGTGGGGGATTACCCTGATTGCTTCATTTGAGGTGTGAAGGCATGCCCACTCTGGGCAGTCCCATTCCCTCTGTAGGGTTCTGGATTGTAGAGTTAGAGAAAGGAGCTGGGCAGCAGCATACATTCATTGCTCTCTCTCTCAGTTGTGGATACATTGTGTCCAGTTGCTTTAAGCCACAGTCTCCATCCACTTCCTTCCCTGACACAATGGATTGTACCCTGAACTGTAAATTAAAACCTTGATCCTATAAATTGCCTCTTGTCAAAGTACGTTATCACAACACCAAGAAATTAAACTAAGACCGAAGTCTTCCATTTACTAACTTTTTAAAATTTTCTCTTTAAACAGAAGCAGAACTCTAGAATTTGCTAGATGTATGAGGAAAGGAAGAGAGAGAGAGAGAAAGTGGTGAGTGCTGATAACAAATATTCGGATATATTAACATATCAACTTCTATAAACATTGTATTGAAATCCATGAAGCCACAAAAGAGAAATTATCCAAGTTATAACTTTCTGATAGAGCTCATAACATGTGGGACATATTTCTAAGAAAAGAAAAGGAATTTCAGAAACATGGCCAGTTCTGGGAAAGCCAGTTTTCTCCTAAAAGCCAAAACCTTCAGAATAATGTAATGTTGTCAGGAGCACAAAATGACTTTTCCAGCAGTGATGGGAAGCCTGAAGTTTTATTTTGTAAGGTAAAGATGGATCTAATTTCCTCAAAGGATTTTATTTCTAAGCCAAGCAAAGAGGACTTGATAATGTGGTTCTCTGTCCTCTGAGGCCTCGCTGGCGCAATGCTCCACGAAACTGCATGAGAATTAAAATTGTTTATGCATTAGTAATTGAATCTCCTGGTATAGAGTTCAAAGGCAAGGTTCTCCTTCAATAGATTATCAAAATCTGTTACAGAGGGTTATATTTCCTCCTCCCATGACATGACTGGAAGTAGCTGGCATCACAGATGTTTTACACACTGAAATTTCAAAATAATTGAGAGTTTTCTGATGAAGGGCCACTAGTATACTTTTAGAGAAAGCATAGCCAGGGAAGGTGGTTCTCCTCTATACTCCCAGAATCGAGACAGCTGAGGCAAGAGCATTGCTGCAAGTCTGAAACCAGACAGGGTGAGGTAGTGAGTTCCAGGTCAGTCTGGGCTACAGAGTGAGACCCTGTCTCAACAATCCTTTCAAACAGAAAATGAACAATCCTGAAGTGACAAATGGCATGCCTCTGAAGGAAGAGCAAGGAAAGATTTTAAGTGATCAGAAGTTTCTACTGGGGTAGGTTTGCTCTTGCTTGTTGGTTTTTTGGTTTTGTTTTTGTTTCACTTTTCAATTCTTTGAGAAGTAAAAGCATCCCCCTCCCCCATCCACTGGAGTCTGGCTGACACACACCCCTCCCCATGCACTAGAGTCTGGGTGACACACACCCTCCCCCATCCACTGGAGTCTGGTTGACACCCCCCTCCCCCATCCACTGGAGTCTGGTTGACTATCCTTAAAGAAAACTGATTCTCCCTGCCCTGGAAGCCACAGAAGCCATCAGTCACCAATGGCTTCTCGGTTAAGGGTCTGCTGATAAGGCTTCCCCCTCTCTGCTGGAAGGCTTGTTGCCTTGATCTCTTGCTGTCACTCCCAGCTCCATGAGTTCATGAGCCCAGAAAACACCCTATAGTTTTGCCCCTATCCTCCCTGACCTCTGGCTCTAAAGATCTTTCTGCCCCGTCTTCCACGACCCTAAAGAGAATTTCAAATAATCATGAAGGATGGAAAATAACCAGTGTGAAGTATAGAATAAGGCCAGGGCGAATCTCCAAAACTCATTCCAGTGACCTCATTAATTTGCATAAACTGGCTTGAGTGGGTATTACCAGATCCTACTGATTAGGTCATAAATGGGGACAGGTTACTAATTTGAGGGGCAAGACTATGGCTGCTATTTAAGGGGACATATTAGAAGATCGGTTTTTGCCAAGTATAATGTGAGTGTAGATGGATGTTTTGTGGGAGAAGGCACATGACAAGAAACAAAATAAGAATGAACAGAGGGATGAAGTTGCTGTAGGTGGTTGGATTCAAATACCATCTATACACACTTAGCAGCTGACCTCACAGCTAAAGATAGAACCATGCAAAGCCCAGAGGAGCTGGGAAATGCAAAGGGCACAGTTTGGGGGAGAGTTCAGAGTCCCACTGAGTAGATAAAACTTTAATTATAGGTAATAAAAAGAGATTAAGCAAACTATTCCCTGTGTGTTTTTACAACCTGTAATTTTGTACTATCAATTAATGCTTAAGAATCAAGGTGAAAACCGTGTTCTATTCTGGTTGTTTCCTCCACTGTAGAACACAACCTTTCCCTCCACTTTCAGGGTAGTGTTTGTGGGGGGAGGAGGGAGGGCTGCTTGTTTCGTTTTCTATATAGATTTTTAAGGGTTCCACTTTGTAGCCCAGGCTGGACTTCTCAAGATCTTCCTGCCTCAGCTCCCAGAGTGCTGGGTTCCACCACAGGCACACTTTGCACCGTAACCTGGTTTGCAGTACTTTGTTGTTGTTTGCATGCTTTTGTTTGTATTGGATTAGGTTCGTTAGCCTGTGTATTGGTTACCTTTCTGTTGTTGTTGCTATGACCAAGACACTGAAAGAAGCAACTCATGGAGGAAGGGCTTACTTCGTCCCAGGGTTTCAGATGGAAAACATGGAATCCTGGGAAAGCAGCTGGTCCAAGAAGCAGAAAGCAGATAGGAAGTGGACCCAGGCTGTAAAATCTGAGTCCTCACCAAGTGACCCATTTCCTCCAGCAGGGCTCCATCACCTAAAAGTCTGACAACTTCAGAAACAGCCATTCCACCTAAGGACTGTCCAACCAAACCCATGAGCCATGGAGGAGCAGTTCACACTCATACCACAATAATCAGTTATGTCTAAAAAAGTGTTATTTGGAGGCGACTCAGACACAACCAAAAAAGAAATAGGAGAAAGCATAAAAAAAAAGTGGACAGTACCCTGTGTTCACAGGAATTAATAGTTACAATGTCCATAATGACAAAGGCAATCTGCAAACACTATGTGACCCTATTAACACTCCACTGACTCTTCACACAAGTAGAAGGCAGGGAAAACCCTAAGATCCATGTGTAACCACAGAAGATCCCAAGAGCCAAAACTATCTTAAACAGAAAGACCAAAGCTGGAGGCATCATGCTAATGTATTTCAAAATCTGCCACTAAGCTAGAGTGATAAAGGTAGGATGGTGCTGGCATAAAAATAGGGATGTAGACAAATGGAAAAGAATGGAAAGTCCAGAAATAAACCCATGAGTTTGCAGTCCCGGCTGCTGACAAAGGTGCCAGGAACGCACAGTAGGGAGAAGGCAATCTCTTCCATAACGGGGCTAGGGATACCGGATGTCTACAAGCAGAAGCAATGACATTGGACCCTACCACACCACACGTACAGAAATCAACTGGGAAAGGATAAAGACTCAAATACAAGAACCGAAGCCATACAACAGTGAGGAAATGGGAGGGAAGCTCCTTGATGTTGCTCCGGGCGTTACCTTTTCAGGTAAGGCACAGGCAGCAAAGGCAAAAGTAGACAACGGAGGCTACTGGAGGAGGAGGCTTCTGCAGAGCAAAGGAGACCATCAGGAGAGCAGGAAGAGCCGCTAGGAGAAGAATCCATGGGCAAACTGCGCATCTGAAAGAGGTTGATGTCCTGAATATATATGGAAGCCAACTCAACAGCAAGATAACAAATAGCCTGCTTTTAAAATGGGCAATAAACCTAAGCAGATATTTCTCAGAAGAAGACCTAGAAGTATGTAATAAATGCTCAGTATCACTAATCAATAGGGAAAAACCGGCAGAAAGGCAGTGCAGGAGCATCTCACGCCTGTTAGGCTAACTGCTACTGAGAAGATGACAGACAAGTGCTGGAAGGCTGTGGGGAAAATGAAGTGCTCATGTGCTCCTGGTGGGGATGCAAATTAGTGTTTCTGTCATGGAACACAGTGCTAAGGTTGCTCAAAATACTAAAAATGCAATGGCCGTATGATCCAGCCATCCAACTATTGTGTGTACACCCAAAGGAAATGAAATCAGCATGTCAAAGAGAGAGCTGTGAGCCCATCTCATGACATTAATAACAGCCAAGAAATAGAATCAGCCTGGGTGCCCAGACAGAAGGATGAGTAGCACATGGTCTCACTTACATGTGGGATCTGAAAAATAACTAAAGAAGTCACAAGGCAGAGAGTAGAATGGCCTCAAGACGGTGGAGTTGTGGGCAGGGATTAGAGAGTGACTGGCCAATGGATACCAATTTTCTGCTAAGCTGGAGTAATAAATTCAAGAGACCTATTATGTCACAATGACTATAATTAGCAGTGTGTTATACTCTTGAAAATGCTAAGAAAATAGATTGCAAGTGTTCTCAACATAGAAAATGTGTGAACATATATGTTAATTATATATAGCCATTCCATAGCACACACACACACACACACACACACACACACACACACACACACACATATCAAGGTAGCATGTTCAGCAAAATGAATATACACAATTTTTATTTGTCAGTTAAAATTAAGGAAAAAAAGGCAAGCTGGGTGGGAATAGCACACACCTTTAACCTCAGCACTTGGGAGGCAGAGACAGATCTCTGTGAGTTTAAGGCCAGCCTGGTCTACAGAGTAAGTTCCAGAACAGTCAGGGCTACATGGAGAAACCCTGTCTAAAAAAAAAAACTAGAAGGGGGAGGGAAGGAGGGAGGGAGGAAGAAAGGTGTGGCATCTGCTGCCTTTAACCCCAGAATTTAA